GGGAAAGGTAGAAGAAGAAACGGGACCAGGGGATAGGATTTAGCAGCAGGACATGGTGAGCTGGGGCCTTGCAGCACCACCACTTCCATTGCTGGCAATGACTTCACTACCCAGCCTCAAACGCGGGGATCCCCATGAGCATCGAAATGCTGGGGAAAAAAAACTCAGACAGAAAAAAACTGGGAAGCTCAGGGCAGAGCCTCAGAGGGTGACTGAGAGGATGAAGCAGCTGAGAGCTGGAGGATCAGACTAGGAGAGCATCGCCAGGGCTGCTCCGGGGATGGACCCTGGGGTTGGAGACGGCTCCCCACATCCAGAGCTTCTGCTCAAAACACCACCGAGCTAAAACTGGCTCCGCAGCTGGAAATAACCCCTCGTCTCTCCTCTAGCTTACGCAGCTAAACTGAGCCACCGGATGGACCTCCTCGCTCCTTCGGATCTCCTATTAGAGGGCATTGTGGAGAGCTCCTCTGACATTCGCTCCCTGCTGAAGGGCTGGATATTTTTAAACTGGGGGGAAAAAAAGCTCTGCACAAAGCCAGAGTCAAAAAACAAAGAACAACAATAACAACAACAAAAGAGAGTAAGATTTGTTGGTTTAGGGCTTTTTTTTCTTAATAATTAAGACTTTCAAAAATAAGAAGGCATGATGCAAATAACACGGCTGCATAAACAGCCATTGCTGTGTTGAATGGAAGGGAAGGAGCTGCTCTTCTGAGCTAATTTATGATAAATACAGGGCAGCTATTTTTCCATCGATACTATTGTGCAACGGCTCTGCTCGTGGCCCGGCTGAGAAGTTATGGTGAGGGAATGGGGTGAGAAAGAAGAGGGAGATGAGGGAAGATTTGGTGGGATTTGTTGGCTATAGGAGCACACTGCTCCTTTTGGATGCCCAAAATCCAGGGAGAAATGGTTGGCCAAGGCCACAGCAGAGAGCCCCATGCTCCTGGTGAGGACCTGATGCCGTGGGGGAACCAAACCAAACCAATGTGCTCATGGGCTCACTTGGTTACTTGAGTCTCAGCTGATAAAACAGAGCAGGCATCTGCCAAGGGCTGGAGAGACCCCATGGAGGGATATGTCATGGTGAGTCTTCCCAGGCAAGTAGAAGGCTTGGGGCACAGAGAGCAAACCCACCATAAATCTGTCAAGATGGACATTGTGCCTTCCATCCTAAATCTGCAAAACATCTACAAGGCTACAGCCCTTTGCCACCCCTTGTGCTGAGCACCACCTGTGGCATCATCTACTTCATCTTCCCAACATGCTCCACTGGCTACCACACACCTCAGAAGCTTGCACCTACTCAAAAACTAAAACCACCAAGTGAGAAGGACACTACCTTTCTACAGCCATTGCTCCATCTGAACGTGGTTTGGGGACCAGTGAGACCACCCCGTGCCCCTCCGGCAGCAAAGACCTCTGGTGGCAGGGCTTGCTCCCTCCCATGGACCCCGAGACCACCACGGGTGAAGGCATTGGTGAAAACTCAGAGAGACTCTGAGGATTAGTGCAACGTCTATGGCACATGTGCGCACATGCGCGGGGGATGAAGAGGGCACGGGACCGTGAGGAAGGGCTGGGATGGGGAGGGCAGATGGCAGAGGACATCCCTGCCGTGATCCAGGGTGGGATGAAAAAGGCGATGCGTGTTAGAGAGAGGTGGGATGTGGAGGTGCCAGAGGGTGGGCAGCCACGGAGCATCCTTTGGGATGAGGTGGAGCTCGGCAGCGTCGTGCCCAGGGGACCACAAAGCACCCACACTGCTCAGTGCAGGGGTCAATTAGCGCAGTTGAGGGCTCATCCTGCCTTGCTCACTCAGCCTCAGCATTGAGGGCTGATGCAGGCGATCCTGCCTCATCCTCACTTTGTGCAAAACATCTCAGAGCAAGATGTGACTGTGGGGCACAGCAAATGCCCTAAAAGCATCACCAGGAGACTCATCCAGACCAACCTCCTGCCAGTGCACTCGGGGAACAGATTCACCTCCCTGCTCTTGCCCATCTCCGACTCCACACATCTGCACGTGTGCAAATTTTAAGAAATAAAAGCACCTTCTCTTCCACACCCCCACAATTAAAGTAACATCTCTTCCCACCTGCAATTAGGTTTCTAATCTCCATTTACTTATGCTAAAGCGGTTCAAACACCGGCAAGGGGGAGTTAGAGGAGCAGCAAACAAACACGGGCTGGTTAGTTTGCAGAGCCTCGTCATGCCTCCAAATTAAAGCTAACTTAGACTACGATTATATTATTCAGGATGGTTCCTGTCAAGCAATTACGCTCAATAAAGGCCTGAAAACGCAATTTGCTATCATCTGTCGCTTGACAGCTCATCTAATGGGCTCAAGGGCCCATCCGAGCTGATAGGGAGAGGGAAAATACTGGCACACGGCATTCAGACAGCAACACCAGCTCCGAGATGCTGCCCAAATTGCATCTCTTCGAGGAGGTCCAGGATTTGGCTGATGGAAGATGAATGTGCGGGGGAAAACAGTCCTGGGCACAGCTGCTTGTTCAGCTGAGGCATCCCTGTGTGTGGCTGGGGTGGGAGATGCTCTGTACAACCAGAGCCTGCATCCCCGACTCTGGCAATGGGAGAGGGGAAGGACCGCAACCCTGGCCACTCCGCATCCCCAAACCCGGGGCTTCAACAGTGAGGGTCAAACCAAGAGCAAAGTGGCACCAGGGAGGGCAGGAGGGAAAGGCTTGTTGATTAGACACGGGGTGAATGGCTAAATTAACAGGGATGTGGAGATGTGCCCTGCCGAGAGGGAGGCCTAGGGGGGCAACAGAAGTGGGCACGTCCAGGAGGTAGAGAAGCCACTTGTGAAAGGTCACTGCTGTCTAGGATGGGGCCGTCGAGGCGCGGGGGAGCAGGATGCCTCCAGCTCTGGCTCTGCAGATGCATTTCCCCATGGGGGGCAGCTAATAGCAGCGGCACCCCCTGGCCCCAGCAGGCTCCAGCACTAAACTCATGAATCAGCAACATTTTGCCCTTTTTTCATTAAGGAAAAAAAAAGAAAATAAATAAATCCGCCAAGAAACAACTGCTGCCCAACCGAGCATCATGAGCACTGGCCATGCTGATTGGGATCAGAGGAGCCCTGGGGTTAAATTGAAGACTTCTGCTCAGTGGGGAAGCAGCCCAAGACCCAACCCCAGGGGCAGGGAGCGCTGCCCACCGTCCCTGTCCCACCACAGCCAGGCGGCTCTGGGGCATAGCCACAGCTCAGCTTCTCCAGCCCTCACAGGGAGACTTCACGGGGTGAAACGCTGCAGGCGCAGAGGCTCATTCCAATCCCGCTGTCGGCCCACGGTCCCGCTGCTCCTCCATGGCACCAGGTTGGGAAGCAGAGAAGAAGAGGAGAACCGCAGGGTGGGGAAGGCACCATCCTGTAACTCCTCCTGTCACAGCCTGCAAGGGACACAACGACAAAGTCAGTGCCGGAGACTTTCGCCCATGGTGCCATGGGTTTTTGCAGGGCAGCACATTGCGAAGAGCCTCCCCAGATGGGTTTGTCCCCAGACAAGCAGGGAGCCTGCAGTGAAGCGCAGGGACCTGACACGGGAACAGTGCCTGGCACCCAGCCCCTAGGAAAGGAGCATCTCGGGTGGAAAGCGAGCGCAGAGCTGGAGCATCCTCCCTCCCCTTGTGCTTAGAAAAAGAGGGAGCCAGTAATTAAAGGGAAGCTGCTGGGCAGCCGAAGCTGGTGGCAGGCAGAGCGTGGCTTGGTGATTACAAAAACCTTCCCAAGCCCACCCGAGCAATTACACAGCCTGCTGCTTTGGGGTTCATCAACCTTCAGCTTTACTTGCCCAGCTGCCAGAGCCACCCTGGTGCCTGCTCGGAGCATGGATTGGTAATTAACTTCCCTCCCAATTAACGGCTTAGGTTCTGGGTGATTTGGGGGCCACCTGACTGCTGACTTTGTGCTCTTCCTGGGAGCCCCTCGGCAGCCCTCAGCACATGGGGACGGGAGGTGGCACAGCGGCTGCCCACATTGCCGCACAGATAAGGAAGGGAAGAAGTTTGGTTATCAGATGCAGGGGGAGAAATCGGCATCTACGACCCTCAGTGGGGTCCAAGAGAGGTGCTTGAAGCTGACGTCAAAAGTGCCCTCACTTCACTCCTCTGTCTCCCTCCTCTGTCCCTGTTTCCAGCCTCCACAGCCCAAGGATGCATGCTGGGAGAAGGAAAAATTCCCCCCTGTGAATGCAACCTCCGCACAGGTTTGGCTCTTGGTCCTATTTGTCAGACTATAATGAATTCAAGAGAAGAAAATGAGTTTCTAAGTGATTCTTCTGCATTTTGCCTGCTGTTACCAACAGGCCAGACCCTGCGAGCCTGACTGGGGACCCATTCATGCTGCACTTGCTGAAGCAGGGAGATGTGACTAAGGCAAAGCAATGAAACAGAGCGGGACTTGGCAATGAGCTGGCTACGAGGAAGAAGAAACCATGCTCTTCTCCCACCATGGGAAGCTGATATGGGCTGCAGGTCTGAGGAGGGACCCTGGGCAAGTCATCCCACTCACCCCCCAACATCTTAATCTGGGCAAAAGAAGGAAAAAACACCTTCCCAGGGGGGAAAACTGCTCTGAGTGTGGTGCACGGGCAAGCACTGGAGCCCTGGCCAATGTCCCCAAAGGCAATGTCCCCAAGGTCCTGGCTCCAGCCTGCTCCTGGACCTACCCTGCTTCTTCCTCCTGGTGTTGGTGGAGCACATTGTCAAGCTTCTCCACCTGACCATCTCCATCTCCTTTCTCAGGGATTTTCACCCCAGGGAGGACAGCCAGCACCGTGGTGACAGCTGGCATGGGCACAGCACTCCAGGACCACCCTTCCTACCCACCCAGGTGGCATTGAATGTACCCAGAGCTTGTCCCCATGCTTCACCATTGCCAACACCAGCTGTGCAGTTGGGACAGTGGGGTCTCAGGGAGTGCAGGCAGAGCCGCCTGTCAGCACGGGGAAAAGCAGGCAGGGGCAGAGACTTACTCTGCCGACTTCCAGAAGTGCCCGGGGTGGGAAAGGCGACGGTTGCGCTTTGGCAGTTTCTCCAGCATGTCCATGAGCTTGGTGAAGGTGGGTCTCTCCTCTTGCTCATAGGCCCAGCAGAAGAGGAGGATGTCCTGCAGCCACAGAGGGTGAGCACATGAGGAAAAGTCAGTCCCTCTCCCACCACGACCTCCACGCCCAATGTCCACCCCATGAGGACCCTATTTCCATCCCTGCATCCTTAAGAAGGGCTGGGGTGGAGGGAATGTGTCCATCCCATGAGGATGCCACCTCCATCACCACATCCTTATGAAGGGCTGGGGTGGAGGGGACGTGCAAGCTGAGCAGATACTTGTGCCACAGCAGCAGGACAAAGCGTCACTGGCTGGGAAGGGAGTGAGGGATCCCTTGCAGTGGGGCACATTCCCTCTCTATTCTCACATGCACGGGGCTCCAGTGCCTGCCCCACATCACCTACCGAGATCTCCTTGCCCATCCCGATCTGGCTGAGGTTGGGCTTCATCCCTCTTCCCACCTGCCAGATGATTGCCTCTGCTGGCTGCGTCTTGAAGGGCCATTCCCGTGCATGCAGCTCATACCAGATCGTGCTGTTGGGAGAGAACGAGGATTAGAGAAGGGAAGAGCTGGGAGGCATCCCAAGGGGGGGCATCTGGATATTGCACCTGCATCCACCACCTCTCCCTGCTCCAAAATCATCCACTTCCAAGAGATGCAAATATGACAACAGAGGTGCTCAGCCCTCATTACAGAGATACTGAGGTTCAACTTAAACATAAGGAAAAGCTTCTTTACTGGGAAGGTGGCAGAGCACTGGACCAGGCTGCCCAGAGTCTCTCTGGAGACATCCAGGCCCGTCTGGACGTGTTCCTGCGTGATCTTCTATGGATGATACTGCTCTAGCAGAGGGGTTGGACTGGATGATCCTCAGAGGTTCCTTCCAACCCCGACCACGTTGTGATTCCGTGATATCATCTCTCCCATTTTCCAGATGGGGAAACTGAGGCTGTCAACTTGACCGAGAGCAAGCTGTTGCTCTTGATTTACACCAGTGGAGAACCTGGCTGGTGGACAAGGGGATGGAGGCTGATGGGAACCATGGGCAGAGGCATGGGCAGAGCCACCAGCCTCTTCCATCAAGTGGGAATCTCCTGTCGTGCTGCAATAGCTCTTTGCCTTGCTGCCCATGGAGCAGCTTAACAGATGATGTGTAGGGTAAAGCGAGCACCAGGGAAGGACGAACCTGAGCATTCACTTTTGCTCTGACTTTTCCCTTTTTTCTCCGCAAAAAGCCCTCCAAGCCACAAAACACCATCCAAGCCATGACATGAACCATTCCCGGTGCCCTCCCCAGGTGATGGCACACGTGAACCCCCGGCCATCTGCCACTGCACCGCTCTTATCGCTAAACCAAGCCTTCCTTTCCATCAGGACTCCCAAATCCAAGGGAATATCCCAAAACAAGGGCATCTCCGGCTGAGCGATGGTCGCCCCCGCGGTCCTCCGCCCCCGCTACCGGAGTTTTGCATCCTCTTTTTCTGGCACCTGGGGGCTGGATGAGCCCCGATTCCTGCAGCGCTGGCCCCCGTTTCCAAGTCCCACTCTCCAGAGCTGCTTTTTCCTTCAAGGGATGCTGTCAGAGATGGTTAAAGCAGCGAGAAATGGGGTGAAAATGGCATTTGGGTGGAGGGGTTCATAAATGATGACTTTCAGATGCAGGGGGGCTCCCTGATTTTTTTATTATTTTTTTTTTTGGAGGAATAGGGGAGTTGGAGAGGTGCAGGTCCTGGCAGCACAGGACAAGATGCTCAGGCAAGAGCAGGGATTTTGAAGGTGCCTGAATGCACCCAATGCAATTAAATTTAACTTTCTGGCTGGGATTTTGGGGCTTAATTTTTCACCTTCCTGCTTTCAGATAAATCCAAAATATCTGGGCTGTATTTCCCGGTGCACGGATGGTGCTACAGAGAGCAGTCTGCTCTGTCTCCCTTTGCACGAGAAGACCGTGCATCCAATATTAATATTAATTACTGCCACGATCTCTCAGGCTTCAGCAAGCAAACGCCACCAGCCTCAGCCCCCTGCTCCGCACCACCCTCACACTCGCCTTAATTTAACATTTCTGTCTTCTTTAAAAGATCTTTTCCTCTTGTTGTCACTGATCCCCAAATCCCTAGAGGGAAGCGGCAATAGCAATAACCCTCCAGATCATCCCTGAGCCTCCTGGGCTCAGTGGAGGGCAGCAGAAACAAGAAAGAGGAAAAACGTGGGAAAATCTTTTAATCTTTTAAGGAAACTCATGCTTTACATAAGGGCAGAGCTCATGCTCAATAAAAAAAGGAAAAACTAAGCCTAAGTAACTGACTCTCACTCAGTTCAATACAATCCCTTAATTACTACTTTATTTTTCTGCTAAAGTTATACCTCGGGGCGGGGAAAAAAACCTAAACCCTTTCAGCTTTAATTACTGCGCTTTTGATGGAAATATTGCCTCCAATAACAGCCCTAATCCCTGCAGCCTTTAAGGTGCCCACAAGAAAATTAATCTGCTGAATAAAAACCCGATAAAACCTTTCTTGAGGCAGGCGTAAGTTTTTACCTTATGTCCGCCTCGAGAAAGGTTTTATCGGGGCGTGAGTGGGCTCCTGCTGTCAGGGGAGCTCACTCCCAGATCAACAGTGAGAGCGATGAAGGGGACTCATCAGTTCTCCTTTTCTTGGCTTTTTAGCATCTCCTTCCTCTAGCAGCCACCTGGTGGGGAGAACTGGGGTGCTTGAGGGCTCCCAGACCTGTGTCCCCAACACTCTGCATCCCCCCCTGATGTCCAGGATGTCTTCTCATTGGTACCTGCCCCAGGAGGATGCAGGGGACAGACTGCGCCAGGCTGGCATCCCCCCAAGAATCCAGATCCCGTTCCCCTGAGCCACTCCAGTCTGTAGCCAAAACAGAAGGATTTGGGGATTTAGGAGGGGTTTAACTCAAAATTTCTCAAAACATGAATGGACTCCAAGTCCAGTGATGGGGATTCCCACAGGCAGTGTCCCCTCAGTGTGGTGGCAAGCAAAGACCGTCCCTCTCCCCTCCCAGCTGCTTGGAGTTGCTCACGCCTGCCACAACCACACTGGTTCTCTGCAGCCCGCCCGCTCGGCGGGGACTCACCCCAGTGCAAAGACATCCGAGTGCTTGGAGAAGGGCAGCTTGTCCTCCTCGGTGTCCGGTGAGAGCTGGCGGATGATCTCAGGGGCCAGGTGGCACAACCAGCCATTCTGGATCCGCAGCTTGTTCTCCCGCCTGCCGAAACACAGAGCCGAAGCTGTGGGTACCACGGAAGGGGACATCTCCACTGGCGAGCAGTCCCCCAGCCCTTCCACCCTCTCCCCAGAGCATTTAAGCCTGGTTTTCCCCACGGCATCCTTGCAAACCCAGGTTTTAACCTTGTTCTGAGAAATGCCACCACGGTGGCTTCATGCCTGTCCCTGCCCAGTGGCAGGGCACAATTTGGGCACAGGAGGGTGGTGAGAGGGGAGCTTCAGCTCTGCTGGGCTGGTGATCAGGATGCAGGGCCTGTCAGGGCCCTCGCTGAGGCTATTACACCAAAACACCTTAAAAAAGCAGGGGGCAAAGCGTTACCTGGGGTAAATCCCACCAGCATGGATACCTGTGGTGGGAGCAGAAGGTTGACCTCTATGGGTCTCTTCTACCAAATCCCCCTATAATAATGGCCTGAAAATCAGTGTTTTCAGGTGTTTGTCCCCAAATACCTTGGTGTCCAAGCCTCCCAGGCCATCACCCATGGGAGTAACGTGACTTTGTTATAATCATTGGCCCTTCAGCCAACCTCAGCTGTCATTTCCTCTACCTCCTCAAGGTCTCCTGCTCAGCAAAAAGACATTAGGCTCCTTTGGCCAACAGTTGAGGTTGACATTGGTTGCTTCGTCATCCTTTACATCCCCCAGCAGGCACCTAGAATGAACCACTGGCTTAAAGAGTGTCCGCGGGCAGGGAAATGGGCAAGGGCTACCAGTGGTGGTAACACATTAAGCTGCTTGATAATGTGTCTAAGCCAAAATTCAGCAGCATAGTTTCGCAGGAGGCAACAAAAACTGCCCTATGTCATGTCAGGCTAGAGAAGGAAGAGTCCGCTGACTTGTGTCAAGAAATTTCTCTCTGTTTGTGCTTTGATGCCCTCCCAAAGATGGTGATGTGCTGTGGTAAGGGATGGCTGTGGGGTTATCTGTCCTCCTGAACTTCAGCTTGGGGCCAAAATCCCAGAGCCCAGGTCTCAGGGGACACCATTGAGGCACGGGCATCTCCATTCACCCCCCAGCTCCCACCGCAAACACTAGCTTCTTGGCTGGCTTTCCCCCCATGGCTGCGTGCACTCAACACATCCAATCCCAACACGACACAGCCCAGATCCTCCCGGCCACAAAGCCACCCCAGTCCCCAGGCACCACCCTCAGGGTCTGGCAGCGCCTGGAGGAGGAGGAACCTCCTCACTAGGGAAGGCGGAATTGCTGATGAACCTCCACGCCCCCAGTCCCCTGGGGACTCAATGGCTCCTCTTCATCCCACTGTGTTGGAGCCATCACTGCAATCAGCGGCACTGGCGAGGGACAGACCCTCTGGCCCCATGAGCTGGAGGTGAGAGCACTTTGGCACAGGGGGGAGGCTTTCAGCTTCCCAGCCGCCTCCCACCGCCATCCCCCAGCCCTGCGTAGCTCTTAATTACAAAGCAGCGTTAAGCACCAGGGCAATTAGAAAAGACACCGAGGAGCTCGCTCGTCCTTCCCTGAGCCTTCAGTCTCTGTCCCCGGGCAGCAGGAAGCAGGACGCAGCGGGCAGCACTCAGATCTGCTCTGCCTCCCTTGGCAAGACCAGGATTGCAACTGGGGCTTTTATTTTTGCTCGTCTCATCTCGTCATCTCGTGCGGTGACACCCCGGGGGCGGTGTTCAGGCTCACCTTGGGATGGTCTGGGGACTGGATTTGGCTCCACAGCTCTTGTGCAAGCCCAGCCCTGTCCCTCTGCAAAGCTCATGTATGCCCGAGCCCACAAGCTGCAGGTTTACGAGCTTCCAGCAATGAGGGCTGAGCTTTAACGTAATCCCAAACGTGGGTCAATCACAGCAATTTGAGGTTTCATGACAAAAGTTTACCCGATTTCATAACTGACCCGGCCACTTCCACCAGTGAAAGCGGCACAACCAGACGAGCCTCTTTCAAAGCCACCGAAGGCCAAGCCAGCCCCAAGGCAAAAGCAAGAGCAGAAGAGCTCTTCAGATTACTCAAGACACACCTCATGCTCCTCTTAATTACAGAGCGGCCCTACCAAGCCCAATAGTGTTTAAGTAAAGGAGAAGTAAACCTGATTTTGCCAGAATAAGACGCTAAATTATGAAGTCTCTGCAGAAAGTATTGTAGCCACAATAGCCATCCCGTTTTCCAGCAGTGCAAGCGTGTCACGGCACAAATGGACACTGCAAACTCCTTGTGCTGGACGCTTTCGTGAACCGAAGGTGAGCTTGCTCTAGGAGGACGAGGAGGATTTTTAAACTAAGTCCTTTTTTTTAACCCTAGTGAAAACAGGCCAGTCTGTAGTTCTCATTCACATCTAAAGCAACATCACCATCCTCAACTTGCCTTGCCAAAATTTGCTCCCTTCTCCACACATGCTTGTCCACACAAGTCGCAGAGGACCCAAAACCGGGCTTTACTGTTCTTCATCTAAGAGAAACCAGAACCAGCAAAAAAACCCACCCTGAAAAGGAAAACCAGACCGGCAGACACTTGCTGCTTCAAAATTCATGGTGAATGATGAGTGCAGATCCCAAAAGCCTTCTCTCAGCTCTCCACCAGCAGAAGACGTGTGTGTCACCAGTGGTCCAGAACAGCCACACTGAAAGCTCCTCAGGGCAGAAGTTTCCCCATTTTTCTTCATTTTTCTAGCAAAACACTGCTCATTTCTGTCCTGCCTTGCATTTCTGACCATCCTTCCTTTGCTGAGCAATCTCCTAGTCTTTACCACCCAAGTGGCATCCTAGTCTTGAGCAGAGATGGCCATGCATTGGTCCACCCCATTGGATATCCCATTTCCCCAGCATCTCGTCACCCATTTTATCTCCAGAGCATCTCTGACCTTCATAGCATAGGTCTCGGGCAAAATTTGGCCATTTTTGCCCAAATCCTTCTACCACTGCTGGAATGAGTTGCAACCTTACCCGGGCAGGACCTAAGTCCCAAATCCCTGCCCAGCTGCTAAACCAGAGCCAAAACCCACTTTGCTGCTGCAGGGAGAGCAGCAGCATTGCTGGATTTCTTGGGCTTCCTAAGCTTTTGGCCAAGTTTGTTCTAAAGCCAGATGATATTTGTACAAGTGTAATGGAAAGGCTGGCTGCTGCCTCGCTGCAAGAGGTGTGGGATGGAGAGAGGCAGTTGTCGCCTTTTCCTCTAATCTTTTGACCTCATCACACGGGAACTAGAAAAAAAAACCCATAATTTCCAAGGTGCATTTTATCTCCTGAGCCTCTTCGCCATAAAGTGATGATGGGCCACAACAACCTCTCCAGTGACAAACCCCATTGCACGGGGCGATGGGGACCAAAAGGACAGGAAGGTGGGTACTGCGCCCTCCTACAGGGAGGAAACCTGTCCGAGCTGCCGGCGCCGATAACGCCACGCTTGGCCCGTGCTGCTTCTAACACAAAGGGTTTAGTGTAAAAGCCCCCTCCCACTGGGGAAAGTCAACAACACGCTTTTTTTTCAGTTTTAACAAAAAAGGAAAAAATAATCTCTGTTCTTTTTTTTCCTCTTCTGTTTCCTTTCCCCTCCAGATTTGCTTCTCTTCCTTTCCACAGCTGCTGAAACTCTTTGCCCTGCCATGCCTACAGCTGGAAAACCTCCCAAAGCACTGGAAAAAAACTCAACACATTTAATAAAACATTTACCAAATGGGCTTGATTCCAAACCCAAAGAGACCAAAAAATATCACAATGCTGTAAATGTCCCATGCTTGGCTCTCGTTTTCTCTGTGTCTTGCTCAATGCCCTGGCTCAGTGCAGACACCATGGCCAGATGCCTGCAGCACCCGAAAGGTCAGCGGAGTGGCCAGGGGACAGCTGGGGGATTATAACAATGGCATTAGGGAGAGGACAAGGAACGAACCAGCTTGGTGAAATGGAGCCTGAGGAGCATCTCCTGGACACTGCAGGGTGGTTTGGCCATGGAAATTATGCATCCCGTGGGAAGCGGTTGGGTCCAAGAGACCCTGTCTGAGGCCAGGTCCTGCCTCTCTGAACCAAACTGCCAAAGACTCGCACGCAGCATCGAGCTCCTTCCTACTGATCAAAAGCAACTATGTCTTTAAACACTAAGTTTAAAAAAGAAATTAAACCAAATCAAACCAAGCTGCAACTTCTGCACCCAAGGAGCAGGGCAAGTCGTTTTCACCGTTCAGCACTGAGCCCAGACCCATCTTGCTGCAGAAATGCCATCCCTCTGGGGCTTTGCACTGCAAACCCAATGCTGGCATTGAGTGTGGAGCTGCATCTCAAGGCAGCACCGCTCATGGGGCAGAGCGGTTTCCGCAGGAGCTCCACATCTCACTCTTCACCCAAAGCAAGCCTTCTCAAAAGTAAAACCCTGGGAGCTGATAGGATGAAATCCCCAGGGCAGCCCCAAGACGCTCAGAGGAACCTTGTCCTCATGTCTACCAAGGACGCAGACTCAGAAAGGTACTTGCAGAGGAGCTTTTTGGGCTCCCTCCCCACGTTCCCAGCTCTAAGGGGAGCTCATCCAGTATTCGCACCCCATTGTGTCCTACCTGCCTGCTTGGAGAACTCCCGAGATGCTGAAGAGGCCGAAGTCAGTAATCACCACCTTCCCATTGTCATAGAAAACATTTTTTGACTTGAGGTCCTTGTGTAGGATCCCCTTGGCATGCAGGTAGCCCATACCCTAGGATGGAAGAGAGAGAAAAATACCCCAAATTTGAAAAAGCAGCACAAACAGACAGGATTCATGCCAGAGCAGGGGTAGCCCCACAACTACTAAGAGGGGGAGAGTCTGGTTGCGAGCATCCCTATGCTGTGGTGGCACGTCCACGATACCAAAGGCTGCACATCCCCAAATGTCCCTGCAGAAAGGGCACATGTCCAGGGGGGTCCCCAGCCCGGGACGGGCATCGGGTGGTGCTCATGGAGGGTGATAGGATCGTCATGTGGGCAGCTCGGCTGCAACAGTGCCTACTTCTCTTCCTGATTAATTGGTTATGTGAGAAAAATTAGTGGCAAACCAAACCGGCAAGTCACTTTCCTGAAATCCTCTGCTGAGAAATTATGATGATGATGATGATGATGTTTTCATCTTCGCTCTTCATATTGGGGCTGGGAGCAGAAGGGTAATAAGTCAAAGCTCTCCATCACCAGTACCGCATACCCCAGCGGAGCCATTAGTGCTTCCTACGTGCACACCGGCACCATTAGTCTGGAAACAAGCGCCTTGCAGGAGTCCTGCCTTAATTCTTTTCCCCCAGGAAAAACTACTTGGTGGTTAATTAAAATTATTGCTAATGATGCAAAAAAAAGGCCATGGGTGGGAAATCCAAATTCCCCTGCACCGGGCTTGTTTAGTGTCAGCAAATGGAGCAGACTGCCAACCGCTCCATGTGGCGGACGTTCAGCTCAACAGGATGGGGAGGGCGATGAAAGACATTTATTTGCCTTCGGCAGGGCTTTCCATGCTGCCTCACTTCTAATTCCCATAAGCAGACAAGGGGAAACTTGGTCTAGAGGAAGCTACTGAAGGATAAATGGCAAATGGGCCAGCAAACTGTTGCTTAAGAGCAAATATCAGTTATCTATCACTGACACGGGGGGATTTATTAACTGTGTTTCCACAGGGGTCCATCCTAGGTCTGATCTTTTCACATATTGTCATTAACCACACAGGCAGTGGAACAAGAATGTATTTTTAAGTTTGTAACTGCTGAATTTCTGAATTTCTGAATACAAATTCAGAAACAACCTAGGAAAAATTGGGAAAGCAACCTGAAAAGCCCACAGATCCTCAAATGCAAATACTCCAAGGATGTTGGAAGAAATCCTGGAGGTACCGAGGATGTGCCAGCAGCACAGACCTGTGGGCATCTGCTCCAGGGTCAATGGGAAGTGCTGAGGCAATCAGGGACAAAGTGAGGACAGCAGAGCCCAACCCAGCATGTCAAGGGGGTTTAACTGTACCCCTCAGTGGTTAGAACCTGAGGAGCCTCTGCTAAGGGTTGCTGGAGGAAGGAAAGGATTCGAGGCTGCGACTGGCTCCGAGATGCCACAGCTGCAGCTGGATGCTGGGACCATTCCAGGCACTGGGATTAATTAGGGGTCTCTGGGTCCCAGCACATTAAATAATGATGAGGTTTAAAAATCTGCTTTAATATGTCACTGTCACTTTCACAAAGTGCCATAAAATGCAAAAAAACCCAGCATTTCAACGCCATGAGCCTGTTCCTCCTGCAGGGCCCCGAGCACCCCCAGGACAGGGGGAGACCCAGCGCCACGGGGATGCTCCACAGCCCCCTCGCAGCACCTGGGGGTGACCAGAGCTGGGAACAGGGACTTTACAGCCATGCTCACATGGCAGACAGGAACGCATCTCCCATGCAATCGCCAAACGAAGCGGAACCTTTGTGGAAGGTATTTCTCCAGGCAAACCCAAATCCCTAGCCTCACCCCACAGGGTATTGCACAGATCCCACTGCAAATTCCAGCCCCGCCGCCTTCGTCCTCGGGATGATCTGTGAGAAAACACTCCTGGCCCGGTAATACCTTAATTTTCTTGGCTGCCCGGCGTGCGCGAAAAGCCAGCTCCCTCTGCCGGCTTTGCTTCTCAAATAAATTAACTTTTTGAGAATCACAGCATAACAAGAGCCCTCGCATCCGCTAATCCGATAAGCCTAACGGCTCTCCCACTGCATACGGGGACTCAAAGGATAAAGTCAAACAACTGCCGTGGCCCTGCCGCCAGCTCCTCCAGGCAATGCTGCCCCAAGTCTAACCAAACCAAGATGTTGGGGTCTTCCTTCACTTCTTCACACCAGCCACCTCCAAGACCACCAAAATCTCCTTAACGTCTGCTGATGGTTGACATGGAGAAGTGGGAAGGCAGAGGAACTGCTCCTCCTGGTGCACACCAGCACCGGGATGGCTGTATCAGGTATGCGATAGACCTATCGGTGCACAGAGAGAGCCTGGGCTCAGGACCCAAGCTCCACAGCTTTGTCTTTGGACCTCTACTCATTCCTACAGGGACCTGCGTCAGACCCAAAGCCCCTCTGCTCTGCAGCAGCAGCACCCAACCCTGTACTCCCAAGGAGGAGAGGATGCAGGGATGCTGACAACCAGGTCTACGTGTGTTCACGCTGATTTGCTCCAGCAGATCTCATGGGTGCAATCTCATAGGTGAGTTCTCACGGGCTGAACACTTTTCATAGTGATACCTTGATCTCACAGATCCAGTGATGCTTCCCCAGTGCTGGCGATGCCTCGCAACACTACAAAGAGTTTGAGGTTTCCAACTCGTTCCTAATGCACATGCAAGCTGCAGAAGATGGCAACCTCTTAGCCTCGTCCTATGAAAATCCCCAAAACAAGAAGCAACAAAGCTCACACAGAGAAAGGGGCTGAACCAAGCCAATACCTCCTGCTGTGGACATCTGGGAGGCGAGAACCCTGCACACAAGAGCAGTGGTAGTCAGGGGAGAAAATGCGAGGCAAACCCGTGTGATGTTCGAGATGTTTGCTCGGTGGGAAAAATCCATCTTTAAAGAGTGGAAAATGCAGATCAAAAATGAAGCAGGGAGGCCCTCAGCTGTCTCAGACGCCCCAACTTGCAAGAGCCAGAGCTTGCAAGAAGGTGCCTCCACCCAACATAGGGTGCACAACAGCCCCGCGTGGGGTTGACAAGCCTCACCCAATGGGCCCAGGAGCACCCTTGGAGTGGGCAGACCTGCCCAATGCCTCAGGACAGGACGCTGGAGATGGTCACTGGAGAAATTAATCACCTGTGGCTTCTCTCCATCACGCCAACACACAGCTCAGCCATGTCACAGCTCCAAGACGCACCTTACAATGCCCAGGGAGATGCAGGGGGCTCAGCAAAGTGGCCAAGCCTATGCTCAACTGTCAGCTCCTGCCCGGAGCCTTCAGGGGAATTTAAGGAATTTACTTTAAAAACAGCACACACTTTGCTAAATTTGGGTGTAAATAAATGCAAAATAGGCAATGTAATAAGAAACAGCATAAGCACAGGCAGGAGAATGGCATCATTCAGGATTTATTGCAGAATATATTCTGGTTTCTAACATGGATTTGAATATTTAAAGGGGTTTAAGATCTGCCAGAAAAACTTACTTATTTCTTTTTTTTGTTCCCATAGAAGTATGATAACTGTGAGCTCAGCCCCAGATGATCTGACCTTGCTCGGGGTGCTGCCCGACCTTGAGCAGGGCAGCATCATAGCTGCTGGGGTAGGACATATGTCAAATACTTTTGGTACCTTTTAGTGTTAAATATGTTTGGAATCACAGTAAAACACAATTTTGGCAGACAGCTCGACACCTCTTGGGAAAACAAGCCACTGCAGACACTCGATGGGACGCTCTGAACTTCCCGGCCACTTGACCCTGCCACATGAGGATCCTCCCCAGTGACTATTTATACAGTCAAGTCTGAAGCATCGAAGATGCACTTTGAGTCGTCTTTGCCGTGAAAGGAAAAGCTTTTTTAGCTCTGAAAAATGTACATGTGCTCTGCCTTGTGGCATGCATGACCCCCTGCCATAAGCACCACAATGCTGACTCCTCTGGGCACCGTGGCTTTGGGATGCTCTGGCTACAGAGATGTGGAAACCTCAGACCAACCACAAATTATCGGGGCTTTTTGGTTTTGTTTGTTTTTTTCCAAGAGGAGAGGAATATCCAAGCAGCAACTTGCAGCAGCAGCAGCGCTGGACAAACATAGGCACTTTCAAGAAGCCGTGGCCAGGATGAGCCCTCGGCTACATGGGCAGCCCATGGGAAGCCTTGGTGCCACCTCAGTCATCTCAGACTGGGTGAGGGAGGTCTGGGAGACCTGGATTTTAAAGCCAAGGGGTGCTATCCTGCCCAGCCTCCTTGGCTTCTTTAGTCCCCCTCCCTGGGCTCCAGGCTGGATCCAGACCCTCATCGGTGTCAAGCTGCCCCCACATCATGCCGTACCTTCACGATTTCTTGAGCTATCTGCCTCGTCTTGTTGACATCCAGGACGATTTTGGCATCTCTTACCACCGAGTAGAGAGTCCGTCCTTTGCACAGGCTGAAAGAACAGGAAAAAAAGAGAAGATAAAAACACAGTTTATAAACCCCCACCAAGAAACATCCCCAAATTATCAAGGCAGCGGCTGTGACAGGCAACTATAAATAACCACAAGAGCTTTGGCTATGTCTCAAGGCAGACTGAAGATTCAGCATGAAAACTGGGGGCTCTCCCCAGTTTGGCACTGGGAGGGGGCTCACGCTGCTCCCTGGTGCGTGCTGGTGCCACCGCCACGGTGCCAAACCCCATAAGGGGTGACCCGGGCTGGTTCCCGGCTTTCCCTGTCTCCCAGCCACCCGCAAAGCACCTGGTCCTCTCGCTGCAGACTTTTTGTGCAAAACTGGCCGCGGCTCCCCGCCTCTTCCCCCGCCGCATACAATACCCACAGATGTAATGTGAGTCAAAAGAGGAAAGACAGGGAGGGGGGGAAAAAGCCCCACAACCCAATGCACTGTACAATGTCCTCCAATTTTCCTTCTCGTACCAATTACAGTAAAATCTATTTACAGAGCCTTAATTACCAAAGGCAGCTGGAGGGGGAGAGGGGGGGATATAAACCAATTAAAAATATATTGACATTTGAATATCATAATGGAGTACGTGGGTGGATGCTGCCTCGACTCCCGCCCACAAAAAAGGGCTTTTTTGCTTTTCTATATCCACCCACGCTCATTATAGGCAACTTTAGAAAGATGAGACTGGATACCTGCACCCGGGAAATAAAGCACCCGACACACATCTCGTTAAAGAGGCTTCAGCGACCACAGACGTTAATTTGATCCTGTTCTAGTTAACAAATAAAATGTTACGGGGTTTAATTCCTCTCCTCTCTCCTGCTCAGCTCCACTGCTCTCCCCCTCACCTCTCTTCTCCAGCCCCAGGGGTGCCAGCACAGACCAGGATGGATTTGGTCCTTTTTGGGTAGAAATAACCAGCCCGAGTCGTGCCTTGATACAAGGGCTGAGGAGCATCACACCGAGCTGCCCTCAGATGGGGAGAGGGGATGGCTTGGACCCTTAGCATGGATGAGGAAGAAGAGGCTCGCCAAAGGTAGGGATGCTGAGCACAGTGGCTTCCATCACCTGGGTGTAAATAAGGTCCCCACGAGCGATTAGGCCCTGAGAGCAAAGATGTTGGAGGCTCACCTCCAGAAAGTCCGAGAAGCCAAGCTCTCCACAGCTCTTTGGGGGATTAAACAGATTGGGATTAGGATAGTGCTCGCTGGGATTAAACCTTGCTCGCTTCTTCAGAAGCTCACAGATACAAAGGACCTTCCTGCTCCTAGGCCAGAACCTCCATGTCCCTCCATGGGATACAATTTTCAGGTCAAGCAGTGAAGCAGGAATGGGACTGGTCCCATATCTTACGAGTTTTGGGAAGACAACAGCACCCTTCTGAGCACTTTGTCTCAGGTCGTGTTGGAAATAGTCTTGCTGGACACAAGCGAGCCGTGGCAGGGAATTTAGGGCATCTTCATACCGAGCTGCTTCCTCAGTAATGCCTTTCCTTCCCCAGGTGTCCCTGAGCACACCAGTAGATGGGAAACTGGAGGCACCCACAACCACAAACACAATTTTCCTCTAAACAAATCAGCTGCTTCCTATCTTCAGCAAGAGTTTGGCTGCAGAAAATACAAATTCATGTGAAGATTAGGATCCAAGCACTCGAGCTCCTACTTGGAAATAAGTGAGAAAGAAAACTCTTGGGTTTCTGCAACCGGAATTAAAGGGTGCAGAAAAATCACTGACATAAATTCTGTTTCCACTGCCTTTTCAGTATGAAGTTTTTTGCACTAATTTGCTAAATAATCCTGTAATGCTTTAAGCTCTGCAATGCAACAATGCTTTCTGCCACCTCCCATGGCCTGCCTGCGCACCAAGGCATGCCTCTAGCCCTCCCTTTGCCCCAGCAAATGCTCACTTTTCCCCTGGAGAAAGCCATTACAGAAAGTTGCTTGAAGTCTGCGTTAGCCAGGAATCGACACTGCAAGTGCAATGAACAGATCAGCACTGGAAGAGGGTTTGATTCTAGCCCTGAAGTGAGTTAAGATCAGCTGTTTTCCTGGAAAAGGGTCGTTTGGAGAAAAATCCTCCAATTTCTGCCTATCTGAACTGGAGAGATAACCCCAGGAGCGGAGCCCACAGCCCCATCCTGGTGAGATGCCACCACTCAGATGTCTCCACTTCGTTTACAGAATCACAGAATCATTAAGGTTGGAAGAGACCTCTAAGATCATCAACCCAACACCACCATGGCCACAGCCATGTCCTGAAGTGCCACATCCACATGCTTCTTGGACCCCTCCAAGGATGGTGACTCTACCACCTCCCTACGCCGCCCCTGTCCAGTGTCTGACCATCCTACAGAGGGACCACGTGAAAGGAGGCAGTGGATGCACCTGACGCGAGACCCGGCACAAGGAGACCGCCGGGGTGGTGGTATCATCCCCATGGTGGTGGTACCAGCACACGGTGGAGCACTGCAGGCACGGGATGTGTCACCACTGCTCCTCAGACCTTGGTAGAGTCATCGAGGCAGCCCAGGTGCCTCTTTCCTCCCTTCGATGAGTAAGTCTTCTGAATTAATTCAACTAGCAACCACTGCACCGGTATTTGTTAGAGTTTTCTTGCTGGATAAGGAGCTGCCAATGCAGAGATAAAGCCCAGTTGATACCTATTATGCAGCACCTGAGCCCATTCAGCCACCACCTGCAGAACCTTTTCACGGCAGAGCTCAACAATTTCGCTTCTTCTCGTTCCTCGCCTGCCATCAATCGCTCCCCATTCGGGCAGGAGCGGCAGGCACAAAGCGCGGCTCCCAGGGCACGCACATCATCTCCCGCCTTTCCACTTCAAGAGGTCGACGCTGAGCCACGGCATTGAGGTACCCAGCCGGCTGCGAGCGAGCGATGCTGTGGATCGCAGGGCCGGAGACCGCCTGCGCTTGACACCAGAAACAAAGGCACATGATTTGCGTCTTCAGATGGATCCCAGCTTATTCACAAATAGATACTTGTCTTCTCCTCCTAAACCTCCCCATCCCATGTCAGCAGAGCAGGCAGGTTGGTGACGTGTGTGGAGACCAAACCCCATCCAGAGCCGAGGGGCAGCAGTCACAGCCCGGCCAGGCAGGTTTGGGAAACACAAAGGTCCTTCCCGGGGTCCCCAGGAGCCAGGAGGCCCCCTCAACCACCAGTGCAACCTCGGCTCGCAGCCTTCCCCAGCACCAGGACTGTCCCAGCCCCATCCCGCTGCAGATGCGAGACTCTCTTCAAAATGAGTTTCTGAAGTGTTCAGCCAAGCAAGCCAAATCCCAAATTGCTTTATAAACACTCTGCATTACACCAGCGTGGGCTGAAGACATCAGCAACGGGAGCAAAGCCAAAGCGACTTGCAGAGGAACAATTTGGGAGAGATGAGTGAGGAAGAGCTGGAGCACTGCACCTCTTGATATTTTTGCCATTTGATGTGAAGACAGCCTCATCCATCCCTCCACCCCCATCACTGGAGTTTTTTCCCCCCACCCTGCAATATTAATGGCCATCACCTCTCCAGGGTTGAAAACCTCAGCCTGGCTCCTGCTCAGGAGCAGGAGTAAATCCAGGGCTGATGGCATGGTGGTTGTGCGCACATCACCGTGCTGTTACTCACCGGTGTTTTGTGCTTTTCTTCCCTCTGCCCAACCATCCACATAAATGCCCATTAAATTAAATAGGATCATTTGAGCACCCCAAAGTGATAAACGCCAGACCCCAGGAAGCTTATTACTTGCTAGTATATTGATTTATGGGGAACCAGCTCAGATACCATGGTGATAGCCAGCACTATACACCCAGGGGAGACACAGAAGGCGAGAGTGGGAATTAATAATAAGTACTTTAATATAAAAATACCTCTGCTAGCAGGTTACATCTGTGCTCGAGGAAAAACGGAGCAGAGGAGGGGCTGCTCAGATGCTTCCCCATTCCCTACCAGTTTACCAATTTTTAGTATTTCACAGAAAAGAAGAAATCTTCGGGGAATATTAAGAAAGATACAACCACGGCAACCAGAGCCGCTGAGCTGGGACTTACTTGATTTCATTTGCCCAGGACGGGCCGCAGCAGGGAGGGGAGAACGACTACAGCACAAGCCTGCACGTGCCTGAGTTATTTGGGAAGTTTTCAAGCTGCAGCCATATAGACTCCCTTGTTTTTCTCCTTTGCCGACATCTGGCAATTGTGCTTTTGAAACTACACAGCCACAAATGTGTTTCACAAAATGGAAAATTAAACAAGGCTGAAAGAGCAGCAAAGGGAGAGACTTGGGTTAATTTTTATCCCTCAGCTTTGTTTTCCTCAAAATCAGTAAGAAATATTGCACTCTCGATGCACACTGTCCCTGCTACACTGGCGTGAGAGAAACAGAGCATCAGCATCATCATCATCACCCAGCTCAAGCTCCCCAAGTCCTCTGCAGCCAAACAGCACCCCAGGGACAATGGGGACACCCAGTCGGGACAACCAGGGTCACACTGACATGAGATGCAATGAGTTTGTTGGGTCTCAGTCTAAGGAGGAAGCTGGTATGTGTCAAACCCCACACCTACATATATATATATTTTTTAAATAATTTTTTTTTCCAAAATGAAAAGATTGGGGGCAGCAGGGATGAAAAAGCTCTGCAAGATGTGCTCAGGACTGGTTTCACTGGGATTCACAACCACCAACACCTCCAGGGGAAGCAAAGCAGCTCTCCTCTGAGCCACACACACCCAGCACTCTGGGTCTTTGCATGGAAACATTTCAGCCCCAGGACTACAACTTTTATTTCATTTCCCTCCTGTGCCCACTGCAAGCAGGAAGCTGCCTTCCCCTCATTCCCATTGCTCTCAACAACAGCAACGTGTGGTTTCTTCCCTCCCCATGCACCCAGAAGCACCATCCATCCTCACTGAACCATGACTGGAGTTCACATGACCGGGGAGGAAAGCAGCAGCCGAAAGCTTAGGGCCGTGAAACG